TTTTTCTAACTTCACAGCCTGCTGTCTTGACCATAGTCCTTCTTCATTTTTTCTTGTGTGTAGCAAGGAGACCATTAACATGTCTGGCTAAAAAGATTTCTTATTAACTCTTCCAAAAACTACTCAGTTCTCCTTTTTTGGCTTATTTATACCTTATATAAAACTTCGAAAGAAAAATATAAAATAGTTAATTTGCATTTGCACATACATATTAATAGTGCCAAATTAATCGTTGCCAACACATCACACATCAACAAGTCTTTTTTTTATTTTTTGGTCGACCTCCAGCTTACAGTTCTACTTTCAGATTATTCAGTGTATCTGATAGAAATCCTATTATGATTCCTTTAGGTTACAAATTCCATTTAAGTGGCTGGGGACTAATCTTGTCTGAAAAACAAATAGCAAAAAATACTTTTCCTGAAATATGGACCAGATAACTTCAGCTACCACGGGCACTTCATGTCATTTATCTAGAAAATGCCACAGTAAATTTACAATCAGTAATTGATTTTACAATGAAATTTGATTGGCAGTCTAATTTGAGATTGCTTGTTAATCTCAGAGCAAGACACCGGAACCTTGCCAGTAAATCTCTAGTATTCCTGACGTGGACTCTTTTCATATGAAAAATGCCACTTAATGTAATTAAAACACGCACAATTTTAATTTAGTTTATTAAACTATTAAATCATACAATAGCATGCACAGTAATTATTGACACTTTGAAGACATATTAGGCAATGGAACAGGCTCTTAAGTCTAATTGCTTCTATTGCTATGTATCTCTTTGGCATACGTTCTAGATGCAAGATTCATTCATTTAATAAATACATATTGAGAATGTTTAGGCTCTTTCGTACATGCAATATATTTCACTTATCTTGGACACTTTGAAGTGAGCTGATAAAATTACTCAGATACATTAACCTTTAAATAATGAATTGGCAATTAAACATAGCAACTTAATGATTCTAACTAAATACTGACTTACAGGGTTATTCACTCATTTTGTCCGCCTGCTAGCCAGCCACTACATTACAAAAGAAATATAGAAAAATAAATATATGAAAATCCTATGGAAGTCAATAAGAAATCTATAATACTAGAAGTGGGGGTTTAAACATCTGCCATGTCCCATGTGGAGGAACATATACTAATGTGTTAAAGCTGTGGGCATCGGGTGTCAAAGTCGTAAATAAGTAATGGGGGAGTGGACAGATTACTTCCCACCATCCCCACCTGTGGCCAGTGGGTGGGGATATGTGATAAAATAAAAGGGTGACATTATTATGTCCTCATGGACACCTTGAATTGTGTCATACTGAACATCTTTGGGGCAGTCCATGATTCTAAGTTCCACCTGTGGCACCAAAAGAAGAGATAGTTGATGGAGAAAAAGATGATTAATGGCTAGTGGACAGTGTTGTAGTGGGAGAAATTGGTGCTGTAATGGGAAAACAGAGGCTGTAGTGAAGGGAAATATGGGCTGTAGTGGGGAGACAGGGGCTGAGGGGAAATTATAAAAAAACAAAAACTTTTATTTATACAAACAACTAAATAGAGTTATTCCCCCCTCCCTGTGGCTTACCTTGATCAGGGAGGGGGGAATCCTTATCCTGGTTGTCCGATGGGAGATGCACTTCATAGCAAGGTGTATCTACTCTTGTGAGCTCCGATCTTCAGCGCTTTGCCGTTGTAAGACAGAGCTCACGGGAGCAATGCTGGTCTGGGCCTGGATGCTGCAGGGGTCAAACACTCTCCAGATTTACAGAAATTTAAAATGAATACAGTGGCTGGTCCAAGTTGAGAGGCATCAAAAAAAAACCCCAGTGGCATGACAGGAACGCTCGTGGAACCTCTCCCTGGTTCGGGCCCTTGGGCATTGCCAGAATGCACAGATGGTTAGTCCACCTTGTTTGGAAAAAATCTATTTTGACTGTAAAATTTGCAATTCCATAGTTAATTTCCATTAATTTTTTGCAGTTGATCTGCAAAAATAGCTATCAAGTAGTCTAGTCTGGTAATTATTGCCCTAAAATGTATATTTCTCTGTGAATTCACAACAGTTGATGGTTTCTTGAATTGACCTGTTTGGTTTATTTACTGAATGCCAAATAACAGCGAATGAAAAATTGAATTGCAGAATTTGGGTAAAACAGTAAAATATCCAATTCAGCAATAATCACAGATTGGCTATAATAGCCTGAATATTGTAATCTGTATTACAGTTTGCTTCTACATCAATACCCATTGAGTATTATATTCACCTTGGATTATAGAATGACAATGTTACAAACCATTCTTCGCAAAGATAAGAAAAGATGTTTATAATTATGATTCACAGGTCTGTTATCCAAAAAGAAATTCTTTGCAACAATGTCTATCACTCAATAGAATCGTTTTCATCTGTGCCTATTGTTTGCTATTGGAGCACACACTAGGTTTATATAAATGATCTGTGCCGAAGGTCAATTAAGAGCAAATTATACTTTTTCTGATATATTTATTTTTAAATATTATGTTTAATTAATTAAATAGTCGTGAGGAAAAACAGGTGCTAAAAAATAAGTAAGGTTAAAAAAAACGAAATTTTGTTAATTTCACAAAATCTCACACTAGGATAAACCATTTATCTAAATGTAATAACGGAAATTTAGCACATTATTTGAATTATAGGAACAATCAAATATGTGATAGTGCCCTAGTCACCATTGCCAGGGTTAAAAAGGTGAACTTACTTACCTTTTTCCCTTGTATCGCGTGTCACTCTAACTCTTTAGATGAGATTATCGAGATTAATGATCTCAGCCAATCCAATGCTTTCCCATAGGAAACATTGGAAGGCTAGAGTGCTGAATGATATACAACACCATCTGATTGATATAGTGGGGTATTACTGCACTATTTCAGTGGGATCACTTCTAGTGGCTTTCAGTGGCCTCATTGAGATGAAGTGGTATGAGTGCCTATAGTGTTCCTTTAGCCAATGAGTATACATGAATCTTTTACATGTGCATATAAACTGCCAACGTACCTTCATAAAATGATGCTCTATGTACTATAACCAAAATAATTTATTATAATGACTATGGTGAAGTCAAGGATTCACAGCCTGTCATTGCTATCCCAATTTGCAGAGGAAGTTACACTCTTAATTATCTTTTTTGCGGTAGAGGGGCTTGGTAGCTTTGGGAACTGAGAATGGCCATTCCTTGTTAAAATTGCTTGAAAACAGTTTGATAAAAACTGCTGAAGCTAAAGACTCCATGTGCCATAGAAACATAGAATGTGTCGGCAGATAAGAACCATTCGGCCCATCTAGTCTGCCCAATTTTCTAAATACTTTCATTAGTCCCTGGCCTTAACTTATAGTTAGGATAGCCTCATGCCTATCCCACGCATGCTTAAACTCCCTCACTGTGTTAAGCTCTACCACTTCAGCTGGAAGGCTATTCCATGCATCCACTACCCTCTCAGTAAAGTAATACTTCCTGATATTATTTTTAAACCTTTGTCCCTCTAATTTAAGACTATGTCCTCTTGTTGTGGTAGTTTTTCTTCTTTTAAATATAGTCTCCTCCTTTACTGTGTTGATTCCCTTTAGCCTGTACAATAAGCTGTAGAAGTTAAGGAGCTTTAAATACAGCCTTGTAATCATGTTAAAAATGAATCTTAATCAACTGTTTGTAAATCTCTAGGTGCTGGGTCGTGGAGGATACAAGTTTCAAAACTGGGCCCAAACATATGGTTCTAGCCCAGAGCTTTACTTTCAACCCACATCTGCAGAGGAAATTAAAGAGGTAAGTGACAATTAATTGATTATATTACTGTATAAAATATATACTTTCAGTCGAAATCATATCCCATTGGAATAGAAACCTTGAAGTTGATAGGTACCTTAGCCCCCCTCCAACCTCCCGCTCCCCTTACCCTCCTGAATACAATACAATGTTATTTTAATTCCAGTCTACTGGTGCTGGCTTTGCCCCTGATCTGCCCACTTGGCTTACATCATCAGAAGTGGTGGTCTGAGCCAATCACAATGCTTCCCCATAGGTGCGGCTGAGACTGTCAAGGAGGCAGATCATGGGCAGAGTCAGCACAAATCAAACACAACCTTGGCCAATCATCATCACCTCATTGAGATATATTGAAGCAATGCATCTCTATAAGGAAAGTTCAGCGTCTCCATGCAGAGGGTGGAGACGCTGAATGTCAGTCACACTGTGCAGCACTGCCCCAGGAAGCACCTCTAGCAGCCATCTTAAGGAGTGTCTAGTGGAGGTATCCCTACGCTGTAGTATAAATACTGCATTTTCTCTGAAAAAACTGTGTTTACTGCAAAAAGCCTGAAGGGACTGATTATATTCACCAGAACAAATACAATAAACTGTAGTGTTTCTGGTGACTATAGTGTCCCTTTAACCCCTTAAGGACCAAACTTCTGGAATAAAAGGGAATCATGACATGTCCTTAAGGGGTTAAATAAATAACTCCTATGTGTTAAGAATGTAAACTGAGAATCCAGGATTGAGATTCCAGAAATATTTTCTCTAATCTCTGGAACAACACTCTATCACTTATTTTCTTCTCTCAGCCCACAGTGAGGAAATCAAATAGTGTTTTTGCAACTTTTAGAGGCCTTTTCGTTCTCCTTATTATTTAGCTTATTGTCTGTGGTTACCTGCAAGGGTAATGACCCATTGTGTGCTGCTTGTCTCATTGTGTCTGTTATCACCAGCTCTATTTTATCTCTGGTTTGGGTTTAGGCAAAATCCACCACTGAATGCAATATTCATATAGACAGGTCAATAACCAATATGTGGTATATTCATCATTACCTACTATGTGAACAACAGGTTAGACATGTAAAATTTGTTTCGTTCCGAATGTAAATTTGTACGGATTTCGTGCTATTCAAACATTCAGATGCTTACCAATGTCCGAAGTGCCGAAGTCCCGAAGCGCCGAAGTGATTCAGATTTCTGAAAAGGGGCAAAACAAGAGAGAGGGAGGGAAAATTACGTGAATGATGACAGGAATCTTGACCAATAAGCTAATTCCTTTTGTGCAATGTAATGCTTGCTTGCTCAATCCTGTTTCACTATTCCCTGTCAAAGTAAATGAGCAATAGACATGTGCAATTAGTTCCGTTCCAAATGTACATTCATACGAATTTCATGCCATTCGGATGCTTACGAATGTCCGAAGTGCCGAAGTGCCGAAGTGATGAGGTTCGGCAGTTGCGAAGTGCTTGAACCGAGCCAAATGCCATTGGCCTGAATTGCTGAAGCAGACACATTTTTTTACTTACCCGAATTTCCGAATTTTTTACCCATGCACATCCTTACAACAGGCCCCGAAAACTCATCTTTACCTGATACCATAGGATTCTGCTGTTTTATTTTGATGAACTTGTAAAATTCATTTAGTTTTGTAAATCACCATGAGTGTTAACATAAAATAAAATGGGCCACCCATTATGAAATTGGGCCACCCATTATGAAATTCTGTCCTTAGCATCTTCCTTTCTGTTCCCAGATACTGGATCTAGCTCGTCAGAGAAGTAAAAGGGTGAAAGTTGTGGGAGGTGGACACTCTCCTTCGAATATTGCCTGCTCTGATGATTTCATGGTTCGATTGGATAAAATGAACCGGATTCTGAAGGTAGGTTAATCACAGGTGGGGCTGAATCACATGAATTCAAACACTGAAGTAAACCTAATGTTTTCTTTTTTTTCTTTCTGGAGAGAGAGTGTCCATGCATTGCTCCAATATGTAGAAGAAAGAAAAAATGAAAAACAAACAAGAGTATAGACTTAGTGATAATTTAGATACCCAGGTATTTATAGCCTATTGCCGTGAGGTTAGGTAAGCCCAATGTTGGCACTGAGATTTGGTTAGAGACAATTTAAATAATACATTCAGATCAGTTGATAACCTGGAGGAGAAAAGTATACCCATGGCACTGTTTGGAGTCGAATTCAAATAGCAAAATAAATGCTCTTTCTCTCCAATGTGTGGAATCAGCAACATAGGATTATTTAACTGGTTAATGTTAGAAATTGATTATAATGATACTCTGCAAGTTTGCTTAGAGAACTATCAAATAATTATCACTAGAATGATACAAGGTATGCATTCATATTAAAAGGACCCTCCATTGCCGAAAATAAAAATATTTTATATGTATACATCACAGTTTAGTAAATATACCCACAATGAAACAATGCATGTTTTTAATTATGTATTTTTTCTTTTCTTTTTTTATATATATATAGCTTAGTCTTTATTCATATTTTATCCAAATTTTTAAAACACCTACAAAAAAAAAAATTATGTTTTTTTTCATTGGGTGTATATTTAAAAACTGTTTGCAAGAGCTGCAGATC